ACTCAGGCCTTTCTGTGAAAGTTGTGAACTCCACCACTGGGCCTGGAGAGCACCTGCGAAATGCTCTGTGGCACACAGGAAACACCCCTGGCCAGGTAAGAACAACACCCTACAGAAGGGAGAGAGTGAATGAATGGGTGTTTGACTAGCAGTAGGAATGCTGTGCTGTGGCCAGGACTCCCTGTTGGGAGTCTTAAATATCAAGTTCCCGGATCACCAACAGCAATGTCAAGCTCTACTTTGTAAAAACATCACAGTGTCTAAGAGGGAGCTTGACATAACCAAGAATTACCCATCAAATCCAAAGGCAGTTTTATAGCCTCTTAAAATAAGAGAGTTCCTTTCCCATCTCTTTTTGCTTTGTATGCACACTCTAGGGCACATGACAAATGAAAGAGGCTTGATGAAATCACCTTACATTGCCGCTACTTGTTACCGTTCAAAGACTGTATCTTATGGAATGATAAATAAATATTCACATGACAGGGCTGTGTCTCAACCTTTTGTTTTCTCCTTCAGGTGCGTACCCTGTGGCATGACCCCCGCAACATAGGCTGGAAAGATTTCACTGCCTACAGATGGCGTCTTAGTCACAGGCCCAAAACTGGTTACATCAGGTAAGATTGCCTGACTACATTTCACCTGGTTTGGTGGTGGACATAGTGTGGTAACACACATCTAAAGAGATGTAAACCAAACCCATAAATCATTTATAGCGTCGGAAATCAGTGTTACCTCGGTTACAAAAAAAAAAATTAATTTCATTTACAGTTATACTGATAGGCAAGATGGAGATAAAATTGAGGTTGTCCTAACAAGATTTTCTTTTTTCCTACAGAGTGGTGATGTATGAAGGGAAGAAAATTATGGCTGACTCAGGACCCATCTATGACAAAACCTATGCTGGTGGTAGACTAGGGTTGTTTGTCTTCTCTCAAGAAATGGTGTTCTTCTCTGATATGAAATATGAATGTAGAGGTATGTACAGCGATACACTGAATGTACAGTTGACATCTCTAATTGAGACTAATATCAAGAATGCCAATTATGGGGAAGTCTAAGTTAAAAACTATTGTAGAGCTAGGGTTATGGATATTCTGCTTTTTAAGATACAATGATAAAAATGAAGTAATTCCTATGAGCTGTTACTTATAAAATCCTGAGTTCTTATTTACAATATTAATTTGTTTAGTATCTCTGTGCTCTTCATATATAAAAGTTACCAGCAGCCAGCTCATGTACAGTATAATCCAATCTAGTAATATTTTTAAATTTACTTGTTCTATATCCTACATGTGGTTTAGTTTTATTCTTGCTATTACATCACAACTTCTCCCTGTACAAGGAGAGGAAAGGAGTATTGCCTTCATATTGGCTTGTTAATTTCCTTTTCTAACCTGAGCTCTTTTTCTCACTTTGGCTGAGTGGTTACTTAACCTCTCACTGAACCCACCAGTAGGTCTACCTCAAAATAAGTGCTTAGTAAATGTTTATTGGGCTAAAGTCTGATGCCTACAAATATGAGCAGAAAAAATGATGGCTTATTTTACTCCACAAAATTTAATTTTTATTTTATAATTTATAAACTAAAGTAAGATATAATTGTATAGTTGTGGTATCTGATTTTTATTAACATTTTAAAAGAAAGAAAGAAAAAGAGAGGAACCTGCATAGTCACAGGCAGGCAGGAGAGCTGCTGATTGTCTCTTAAATAAAACTCCCTAAATTTTTAGTATTGCAGGACTTAGAAAGCATAGCAAAAACTTGGGAAGGTCATGCTATGTCAGTCTTCTAGCATCAAAATTATAAAGTCAACTGCTTGTGTCATTATGAAAATAGAGATAAATCCAGGCTGTTAATTTATTCACTGATATTAAGATGACAACTGTCTTTATGAATTAGTTTTTGCTTATTTTTTGATTTCTATATTTATTTAATAGATTCCTAATCATCAAACTGCTGTTCGAAAGACTGATAATAACCTTGCTGGTATTGTACCTTCTGGAACCATGGGCTTGAGAAAATCCCAGGATCACTCCTCCCTGCCTTCCTTTTTTTCTCTGCTTGCATTCGTGTGGACTCCTAGAACATGCCTCAAGAAAATGCAGTTTCCCAAAACAGACTCAGCAGATAGCCTCTGAATAAGAAGAGACTCTTCCAAGACTATAAACAATTACTCTGGTGTGCTTTTGACAAAAGCACCCATTTGCTTCATTTGGGAGGTACCTGCTCCACTCATTTTTTGTCACAGAGCAGGGTGCAACTGTGAGGCCATCTCTGAGTAGGGGACTCAAAAAGTATTCTCAGGCATGTGAGAGTAGGGAGGACTCATTAGAACTAGTGAAAAAAAACAAAAAACAAAAAAACACCCCTGACATATTCCCTCTGGAACAGAGGGAGCATTGGCCAAAGCCCTTAGGGCAGAGCACAACCCAAGAGACGATTTATGAAGAGACTTTGGAGGAACTATGACATGTTTGGTACTAAATCATTTTCAGGGGATTGAAAGACTATTGCTGGATTTCATGATGCTGACTGGTGTTAGCTGATTAACCCAAGTAAATAGGCACTTAAAAAAAAGCAGAGAAGGGAGGAGAAAATGGGTTTCTAAACTTCTTTCCCATACCTTCCAAACCACCCCCCATCCCCGCCCCACCGCCCTTACCTGTCAACTGTAGTGAACAGAGTAGGAAGTCAGAATTAGACCAGTATAAGGCAGTGCTGCCTACCCCTGCCTGATTACAATGAAATTGTTGGTTTTATTCCAGATGTAGCTTGTGTAGATGTAGCAGGAAAATAAGAAAACCTACCATCTCATTGAGCACCAGGTTGCCTCTCAGGGGAGGAGCTGCTGTGCTTCTATTTTTATGGTTAGAAAGGCACAAAATCAACTCAACTAAAACATTCCTTTTTTATTTTTTTCCTACCTACCATGGAGTTTTCCAATTCTCTCTTTTGGACTGTAGTTTTTTGTTTTGTTTTGTTGTTTTTGACAAACACTTTTACAATGTAAAATATTTATTTTTTACTTATTTTGGAGGATCTGTCTGAAAGACGATTCATGAAACAGGAAAAAGTATGAGGACCATCCATATCATCTTTGTTGTGAGTCTTCATGACTGTAAGATTGTAAATACAGATTATTTATTAACTCTGTTCTACCTGGAATCTAGGTTTCATATGGAAAGTGTTGGGGAGCAGAGAGCTGAAATTTATCAGCAAGTGTCTCCCGAGAACAGCACAAGGAAAAATCAGCATACTGAACTTGTGTTCACTTTATGCTTAGAGTGAATGATCTTGGGCTTCCTTTTTTTTTTTTTTCCTTTATTTTTCTCAAGTGATGTTAGTAGGTTGTCTATTTGCAAGTGTTTTTAGATTGCAGAGAAAGCCTGAGGCCTTTCATACTGTTGTACCCCCATCCCTTATGCTTATTTCCAGGGAGAAGAAAAACATCTACACTTATTTTTTTCATTTTTCCAAAAGAGAAAAAAATGACTAAGGTGAAACTTATATACAAATATTACCTCATTTGTTGTGTGACTGAGTAAAGAATTTTTGGATCAAGCAGAAAGAGTTTAAGTGTCTAACAAACTTAAAGCTACTGTAGTGCCTAAAAAAGTCAATGTTGTACATAGTATAAAAATTCTTTGCAGAAAAGTATTCCCAGTAAGGAAATAGCATTGAAATGTTAAATACATTTTCTGAAGTTGTTTTTCCTGTCACCTTGTATACCATTGCTTTATTTTTATAAATTATTTTCTCATTGCCATTGGAATAGATATCTCAGATTGTGTAGATATGCTATTTAAATAATTTATCAGGAAATACTGCCTGTAGAGTTAGTATTTCTATTTTTATAAAATGTTTGCACACTGAATTGAAGAATTGTTGGTTTTTCTTTTTTGTTTTGGTTTTGATTTGTTTTTTGCTTATTGCCCTCCCCCCAGTTTTTACTGTTTGCCAATATCCTTTTCTAGGAATGTGCTTTTTTTGTACACATTTTTATCCATTTTACATTCTAAAGCAGTGTAAGTTGTATATTACTGTTTCTTATATACAAGGAACATCAATAAATCATATGGAAATTTATATTTATACTTACAGTATCCATGTTTATTTATTCTCTACCCTGTATGTTATGAGGTATGGATAAGGCCCATTCTTAAACTAATACAGCTCACATACTAAGAAATTATAGTACATGATAATAACACCCACAGCTCCTATATGACTTAGGATGACTGACTTGCACAGGTGTCGGTTTAGAATGTACTTTTGCTGGATTTGTGGAATGAAAGAATAAACCAAGTTAGTCTTCCATAGTAAAAACATAGGAAAGTGAAATCACCCTCAAGAATGTGGAACCACTAAGGTTGTAATTTCACATTTTACTAATGTCATTTGTTGATTGTCTTTATAGTTTCTGAAAGCAAAAGAACAATAGGACTGAGGCACATGCTACTCTTGTGGCTACATTTATGTCATTGCACTTAGATAATAAAGTCTCACATCCTATCATTGTTTTGTTGAAGAAATTCACTTCTTCCTATAGCAAACTGCACTTACTAAATGGGCATTAGAGGGAAAGGAAAAAGAAAGCAAAGCAAAGGTCAAAACAGATTCATAGGAACGAAACCAGTCAATCATTGTAAAAGTGTAACATAAAAAATCAAATACAAAATAATCATAGCAATTCAACTGACTTTAACATAATACATTTACATAAAATGTTGTTTTTTATTAGGTATCCCTGATGATGCAAAATTAGCAATTTAGGGAAACAGCAATATTCCCAGGAATTTTAGTGAAGAAAAGTCTTTCAACAACTATATCACAACTTTCATAAATACCAAGGAAATATAATCCAGAAAGATTAAAGTCATTATTTGAGGAGTGATCTCTACTACTGAATTCTGAACTCAAAGAATTCAACAACAACAAAAAACATAATTTAGCTTCATTTACCAACTTTCTCAAAAGCACACCCATTAAGTCTTTGCTTAAGATTCTTGAAATTCTTCTGACACATCTTCAGGATCCTGTTCATCTGCACATTAAAAACAATAACCAAAGTAGTTTAATAATCAGAATTAAGAAAATAAGGCATTAGTCTTCTTATATATGAGACAATCACATTCTCATAATCTATTGGACAATCACCAAGCTACAATAGCATTTACAAGAAAAATGCAAAAGATAAGGTGAGCATCTAGTTGAGGATGAATTCTTTGAGTTTTCAGGGTTAAAATCAGTGATTTTTGAGACAGTTATCAAAATTATATTTTTTGTTTTATACTAAGTTTCTGGGAAGTAGAGTGAAACCAAAAGTAAATGCTATATTTAGGATAGATAAGAACTTTTATTTCATCAATGTGAAGGAAAATATGACACTTAATAGAAATGAAATGGAAATATTCTTCTAATCTTAGTGAGAAATTAACAAAAGAATTAAAAGAGTACAATAAAAGAGAATGAGAACAAAGAATGCTCATTCATTGCTGTGGGTATGTAACAGGTAGGGTACAATGCTGTGGAAAATGTCTGGCAGTTCCTCAAAAAGGCTACCATATGACCCATCAATTCACTCCTAGGTATATGTCCAAGACAAATGAAAACATAAAACCTTTACATGAATTTACAATTCATTTACATAAATTTTAATTTATAATTTCAGTTTAATTTCAACTTAAAATGAAATTGCAAACTTTATTTACAATTTCAATTTATATAAATTGAGGTATTTATGTAATTATATATATATATATAATGTTATATATATGTGTGTGTGTGTGTGTGCATATATATATGTGCGCGCACACACACACACACACACACATATATATAATCGAGATATTTATGGCATTATATCTAACAGCCAAAAATAGAAACAACCCAAATGTTCATCAATGATGAATAGATAAACACAATGTGGAATAACTATACAACAAACTATTATCGAAAAATGAAAAACAATTGAGTATTGGTACAATATGTATAAGCCTTGAAAACCTTATGCTAAATATAAGTCCGACACAATGACTACATAACGTGTTTTCATTTATATTAAAAGTCCGATTTAGGCAAGTTTATAGAGGCAGAAAGTAGAATGACAGTCTAAGACTGGAGGACTGGGGGAAATGGAACAGTGACTACTAATGATATAGCATTTTCACTGGGGGTGAGGGAAATGTTGTAAAGTTGATAATACTGATAGATGCACAATTCTATGAATATTTTTAAAACACTGCCTAGTACAGTTATTATTGAATGGTGGACCAAAAAAAGATATGTCTGCATCATAATCCCTGAAGCCTATGAAAGTTACCATATTTGGGAAAATATTTTTGCAAATATAACTAAGTATCTTGAGATAAGATGATTCTAGTTATCTAGGTAGACACTACCTTCAAAAACAAATACAAGAGAGAAGCAGAGTTAAGATACATGGAGCTCAGAGTGCATGTCTCTAGAACTTTGAGACAATAAATTTCTGTTGTGTCAATCATAGAAAGATAACAAAGGTAAATAAAATATATCCTAATAAAGCTATTATATTAAAAATCAACTTACTGAAGGGGAGTATGCTAGGCAAAATAAGTCAGGAGGAAAAAGTCAAACAGAATGATTCCACTGAAATGTGAAATACAAAGAAACAGACAAAGCTAAACCAAAATGGACACTAAAAAATCTGATTTGGGTTACCAGAAGGGCAGGGGAGGATTGGGAGAAAAGGAGAGAGGAGGTCTAATAGACTATGGTAGAAGACTATGGGTACTTTGGTGGTGGGTGTGGTATAGTAACATCTATCTGAAGAAGTGTGATCCTTTACAGTATGTAAACCAACATAAGCTTGATAAAAAAAAAATTAAACTTTTTTTTATAATTCAACATAATACTCAAAAAAATAATAAGAGAATACTATGAACAACTATATGCAAACAAGTTCGAATAGCAATAATGGACAAATCCTGTAACTCTACAACCATCCAAAGCTAGATAAAGAAGAAATAGAACAACTAAACAGGCCAATTACAAGCAAGGAAATTAAAGAAGTAATCAAAACCCTCTCCAAATAAAAAGCCCAGGAACAGATGGATTTACAAATGAATTTTACTGAATGTTCAGAAAAGAACTAGTGACTATTATACACAGACTCATCCGAAAAATTGAAAAAGAAGGGAAACAACCACAAACTTTCTACTAACATCGCATTTTCTACCAACATCGCACTAATAGCAAAACCTAACAAAGAAAACACACAAAAAAGAAAACTTCAGACCAATCTCACTAATGAACACCAATACAAAAATTCTCAACAAAATCTTAGCTAACAGAATCCAACAATGCA